TAAATATTAATATTTTTTGAGTTATTAACGAAAAACTAAATACTATTTTTTTTAAATCTCATTTTGTTAATAACAATTGCACCAAAATCCTTCAAAAACATTTTTCTAGAGGTGATTCCGAATCGAATGAGCTATCTCTCATATTTTTAGGATCTTTATCTCTATTTTTCATGTTTTTATGCTTGTTGATTAGATTATTGGAATAAATTTGAAGTTTTTATCATCCGATATTATTTTCAATGTTCTTGTTTCATTTTTGAAAAATCGTGATTTCTAGATATAATATTGTGGAATATTGATGTAACATAGAATTTCTGATTATACATATCAGTTTTCTATTCAATTTTGATCAATGCTTGTGAAATAACGAAATATCTGGCAAAATTCAATGTACGCCATTGGGTACCTTTTTAGTACCTATATGCTATGCCCATTTCAAATTTTCTGAGCTCATTTTTTGATAAATTTCCTGGTACATTTTGAAATAGATTCCTGCAAACACTCTTGTTTTTTCTCAAATGTTAGGAAGCAATTTTTTTCGACGAACGTTTCTCTAACCAACTTAGCATCAAATTATCTTTCCGGCCAGTCTCAACTCACCTACACTGTAGGTTAGTGGCCAAATAGCCCGAAACCGATCTGCAAGTATGTTTAAATAATTGAAAATTGATTCCGGCAGTTGTATCGCAAACAGCTTATGCAGGAATTACTTCTGTGAAGAAACCTACACTAACGCCTGTCGGATATTATCCAACGCTCTTCGTGGTATTAGCCAGGGGGTTAGTTGTTTTCTGATGGGTGTCAGTCCATTAACCTACAGTGTAGTGGAGTTGGAAACTGGCCTGAACGAATTGTTTTCAGATAATTTGATTTGCAGCCAGTTTTCAAGTATGCCCCCTATACTATATGTCAAGTTAGCATTAACAAGAGAGAATGAAACTGTATGATTGTGTTTTAGTTCTGGTGTGAGAGAATTGTTTTTATTAGACTCATGTTGCGCGAGAAGTACCAAATCTACGTATCAATTCATTTATACCAAAATGGTCACACTTTTTTCAACATTAGATTTTTCATTAAATTTCGAATTCAAATTCATCTCGTATATTTTTTCAATAGATATGCATAAGTTTGGTTTGAAAAGATTCAGGCTATTAGAAAAACCCAGGATATTAGATTGATTGATGTAACTTGTAAAAAGAGGCATTCTGATGAGCTCAATCACTTGATAACTGCATGTAGACACATTTTCATTTTGTGGTGATCTTTTCCTTGAGATGTTGTAAAAACATTTTCAAAAAGTAAAAATGCATATCAGAAAGCTAGTTCTAAGGAGGTTATTGAGAAAAAATCAAAGCAACTGAGAAGATATACGGAACTCAACTCAACTAGGAGGAGTTAGTAGGAAATACTCATGAAAAATAAGAAGTGAAACTCCCAATGTTTTTATAACGCTTGTATTTGTAACTAGCGTTACTGTATAGGACGATTTATTCCTCATTATTCATCAATTAAAAATTTGAGGAGATTATTACATTCACAATGAAACACATACGACGAGATAGAAACGAAACATATAGACTAACAGAATTAATCAAGTTGGCAAAAACAGATATTTTGCAATGGTGGTAATTTTGAAATGATTATTTGGTTTCAACTCTATCAAGTATCCTGGAAAAATATGTCGTACGATCAATAAGGAGTAAAGGAGTATTATCTTGAAGTTATGCTCCGCTTGCGAGAAGAATACAAAGAAAACTTCCAGTATTGTGGAAAAAAATGGATGGCTTTCGTATCACGCTAATGCATTTATTCACTCGTTATTGCTTCTTCGTGATTTATTGGCCAAAAACAACACCGTAATCATGCCCCAGCCACTGTATTTACCAGATTTGACCCCATGTGCATTTTTCCTGTTCCGGGATCCCTAAAAGGATGGCTCGAGGAGATAAAAACTGAATCGCTAAGAAAGCTCAAGAACATACCAAAAAGAGCATATCAGAACTGCTTAGAGAATTTGAAAAACGCTGGAACAAGTATATTATATCTAAGGGAAAAGAATAAATATGTTTTGATAAAATGAAAATTCATCTTATTTTTTGAACATACCTCGTACATGAAACCTCACCTTGTTAGAAAGGTGTATCCAACTTCAAAGATTCATGAACAGTCCTACTTTTCAGATTCACTTCGAATCATTTAACCGATATAAGGCAAACGACTTGTCATTAATTGGATATGTTGATCAGATATCTTAATGAAAACCTTTTAGCTTCTGGCAGCTGTTACTCGAAAAACATTGAAATCAAGAGTTGAATATATTGAAAGAAAAAGGTACTTTTATGAATAGTTTTCAACTTTGATACATTTCAATTAGGATTAGCTTTACCTATGAATTCATAATTGATATTCATTAGATAATATATTATTATCAATGCAGTTTTCATTAAAATCAATAGCAGTAGGCACTTAGATAAATGTATCTACACAGGGTCGATATTTTCATATTTTGTTTAGCCTATCAATTTACCAACTTTGAACAATATTCATTTCCATTGGAATCTGCCAATGCCGTTTTTACTTTGATAAACACCCGTTTATCGATCTGAATAAAACGGACCTATTTCTAGTGGCACTTCCTCTTCCTCTCAAATACCACCTCTATTTACCTTTATTCCTTCCCCGCATCTGGTTTTCCCTTGGCGGTGGAGGAGGTCCTCTAGCTCCTGGTCCAGGCCCGACCATCCTGCCTCTTTGAGCACTTCTCATTTGTCCGCCGGTCTGCTGAGATGTTTGACCAGCACCATACTGCTCAGGGGCCTCGGTTAGGAAATTCGAGGGTACTAATCCCCTCACCCCATCAATTTCTCCCATGTAAAACCCGTCGTCGTCCATTTCGCCGTAGACGTTGATGATCTGGCCGGTGGTGAAGCTCAGTTCTACCTGCAGTTGGGTCGAAAAGGTTTTGGTAGAGCTTTGGGTTATGACAAAGCAGGAAGGGAATCTGCACTGGGTGTGTTATTTTGTGGTGTGCGCTGGGATCGCGTGTTGGTGACATTGAGTGTAGTTCTGATTGTGAAATGTTGAAGAGATATTATGGTGTTGAAGAGATAAATCACATACTCAGCCTAATTTTTCTTAATGGAATATTTTAATAAAAATGAGGAAATCATCCAATGTGTTAGTGAACTTTATTGAGAAAAATTGAACGAAGTATTGAAAGAGTTGTATTGTCATCCACATGTCATAGATTTCTTCAGAAGAAAGTTCCATAATGGATAAACTCAAAATGATAAATTTCATCAGTTCGGACTTCCATTGTCTGATATAATATAAATTGATTTGAAATCCCTGAAAAAAATAGAAAAATTAACCAAAAATAACGATTTTTTCAAATCAATTTATATTATATTAGACAATGGAAGTCCGAACTGATGAAATACACCACGAAACATTGTCAACCACCTTCAAACAAACTTCAAAATGGTAGTTTATTTGAAAACCAACAAAAAAATCCAATCTCATAGATTGACAAAGAAATCGGATTCAAAAAACTCTTCTTTCGATGCTTCAATTTGTATCTTCGGATCCTTCCAAAAGTAAGTCACATCGTGAACGAAAAATTAAATATTTCAAGGTTCAAACGCATAAATACCAAAATATATAGATTTAGGTAAAAAACATTTTATTCTGCAACTAAAATACGTCATAGGTAAACACTCGTTCTACAATTGCTCAATAAAATTCAAAAAACATGCATGGAATATATTGAATCGTTTTATTTCCACACTAGCCTGACTGCGTCGTAAAAAATTCAGCGTTTCTTCAAACTTTTGTTTCATACAATGTTTTCATAAATACTGATTGAGAAGGATGTTTGAAAAAGCTACTTCCATTTTGAACAACGATCAGTCTGTAGATTCACAAAGTATGGAAACTTTAAACACAAGAGGAAACTGTACCTGAAATACTGAATCACAGAAAGCTCACCCAGCTTAACAATGACTTTTCAGACAAAGAAAGTTCAAAATTCTAACTATCAACGCAAGATATTTTCAAGTACATTCAAATATATACGTATATCAAACCGTAAAACCGTAGTCGCGTTAGATTGAAATCGTCTAGAAGCCATTCAACCTCAGAAAACTTCATCAGAAAAGAAGATGAGAAGCAGAAAAAATGAAATAGAGTTTGAAATTAAAAGGAGTAACGTGAGGTACCAACTCATTTTTTTCACAGCCTATTAGAGAAACAGAAATATTCTTTATTGTCTGAAGAACAAAAATTCTTATTGACAAAGCGTATCTTCTGTTAATAGTTTGAAAAAAAGACACATTACAAAACACATATCAGTCAGAAGATAAAACTAAATAATTCAAAACGAGACATACCTATATGAATTAGTCAGAAAATAATGAATGAAGGTACATTATATCAAATGCTACATCAGATCAGGGTAATTATACTAACACAAGATAACTTAAGTATTGCAATTGAATTCGGCATAAAATTCTACTACTGTCAGAATTTTATACTTAATAAATAATGGTTGACAAGAATCTCGATTTTTTGTTTTACACTAGTACCGTATTGCCAGTTTTTATTGGATTAAAATGGCCTGCATGTGGTTATTTCTAATCCCCCAGAAGGCAATGCCGTACCCCAGGTGAGATTCGTTTAGTGAATGATAAACCATCTTTGCGTTGGACAGTTTGAGTTCATTGGATATGACACGAACTGCATAACATCCAGATGCTAGTTTGCTTTTCAGAGCCTCAAGATGATTATCAAAATTCAGTCTTCTATCATTGTGTAACCCCAGGAATTTTTTGTGACGTTTGCTCTCAATGAACCTTTTTCCTGAAGTACGAAAAATCACTCAGTAGTAGCGCTAGTAGTTCGGTAGGGACAAACACTGCCTAATCCTCATATAAACATATGATAAAGTACAATTAAAAAATAATGTTTTTAACAGAAGAAGATGTTCCTGGAGCAAAACTAAAATTTGCAAATGTAAAGGATAACAATGTTGTATCATTGACTCTTCTCCTAGTGAAATATTTTCAATCTGACATCTGAAAGCGACAACATTGGTCTTTGAGACATTGAAAGATATCTTATTTGAGTTACATCATTTTCCAATCACGTTGACATCATTATGAATTAATTTATTTAAGGACTCTCAATTCGAACTATGCCTCATTATGGTGGTGTCATCGGCATACAGTGTTAAATGAACAGATACTTTGACATTTGGCAAATCATTCACCAAAAAGAAGAACGGGCCCAATATTGAGCCTTGAGATACACCAGTTTTTATGTACGTTTTTTCAAGAAATATTCTTGTTTTTACTATATGGCTTCGACCTGATAGGTATGAATTACATCATTCAAAGGCAAGTCCTCTAACTCCATAGTGCTGAAGTTTCTGCAACAGTATTTCATGATTTACATAGTCGAACACCTTTGATAAATCACGAAATGCTGCCGCTATCATCTCACCGCTATCATCTCATGTATAAATTATGTATATAGATATCATAATTACTAGCAAACTATATTTTGAAAATTTCAAATTAATCAAATAAATAAATACCGAAATACGAATAGTTTTTATTGAAGAGTATGAATGAAAGTTGCATGTGATATATTTCCTCTAAAATGTTGATTGACCGTTAGTGAATAATACAGTGGAGTGAAAAATATGCTATATGCTCACCTCTGCATCAACGTTAGGGCTCAATTCTTGAGGATCATAATCATATAAAGCTACCATTCGTTTGACGGGCAGGTTAGCACAAATATCTCCCCATCGATCACGATTTTGATTACCTTCCAACTCCATCACCATATTATGAGGAACATAACCTCTTCGACCTGAGAAACAAGTAATTTTAAACTGGATTTTTTGAAATATTGAAGAAATCAGTATTATTCACAGGAAATTCTCCTTACTTACAATAATTTTTCTACCATAAATCAGGGAGTTAGTTTAGCATGATATGTACAGAAAAGTGATATTATGAATACCGATTTTGCTTACCCCTACATTCCCCCCAATAAAATCCGTCAGCATCCTTGTCTCCCCAAACTTTAATAGTATCTCCCTCGGAAAATGGCAATTCTTCATCGCAAGCGTCAGGATTTGGTGACATCGTGGCGGGATCATAATCGAATAGTGCCACAAACCATCTTGCCCGTTTTTGTGGATTCGGAGGATTGTTAGGATTATTCGGGGGATTATTTGGCACCCCTCTAGTTCCTTGCATTTGTTGGCTACGGATTTGTTGCGACATACGGGAATTTGGGTCCCTCGAGATTGCTGAAATAGAACTTTCAGTATTAACTCATGAATGACATACATGTTTCCTTGTGTAAATTTTAAAAATAATAAACGTGAAACTGGAAATTGTACTCTATATCACTATTGGGTAATCTAAATGACTGCCTATCTATTGGACCGAATTTTTTTATACAGCTAATTGACATGCGTATTATCCAACAGTTATATACCAGTTAACTAAACTAGTACCTTACCTGCCAGAATATTAGGTATGTGTGGATGTTGTGTTTTCTATGACGATTTTATATCAGTTCCTCAACTATCTTACCTGACTATTCAATGAGATTGTGTAGATGTTGTCTTTACAACAAAATGATCGTGTACTTCAAGATAGGTACAAAGTGAAAGATTTGCATACATTTCAAAAAAAGTTATTGAACTGATTTCTGTGTATTTACAGGTTGTATTGATGTGTGTCCTGACCAATTGCAATGTTTCCAATTTATTGTTACCTTGCTGCTGTTGATAATACTGTTGCTGAGATTGTGGTTGTTGCTGTGGCGGTGGCTGTTGTTCTGTTCTTTGATGCTGGCTTTGCCTTGGCTGCGACCTTTGCTGATACTGTCTTTGATTTCTCCTGTCTAATATTTCATCCTCTGACATGTTACCCTCGAAATTTTCTTTAGTAATTTCTGCAACGCATCGTTGTGCTAGTGTTTAAACATAGTTTTCTAAGAAACCTGATTAGTATTTCTTTTTTGACACCAAGATCTACCTTTAAAATCTATGGTATATTTACGGCAATACATCTAAGAGCATTAATTCTTCTTTACTGCTTACTTTTTTCTATAAAGCTGCTCAACAATCACGTAAAATAATATAATCATGCCTAAATTGAATTTCTACTCCTACGGAATTATTCATGTGGAATGTGTTGAACTCAGATGAATCTGAATATGTTTAGCAATTTTATCCACCATAAACTATTATAAATATGAAAACTATTCAGCAGTAATCACAAACGAGTTTACTCATTTAAGAAACATTTTTCACTAGACAGTTTACAAAACCGCAACACGTGTTTCACTATGCAAACGTGTCTATACTAATATCAAAATTCAAAAATTTTTCATTCATTTCAGAAATAGTTTTCTCAACTGACTCGCTAAACTATTCATCGTCATCACAATATGGTGAACATATTTCTCAATAAATAATGTTCACGATAGATTATATTGTCAATGTCAAAATGTATGTAGAAAATGTCGGCATATCGATTGGCTCATGCTATGCAATTTTTTGGAAATTGCGTGCATAAAACGTGTGGCTGCGAAGTTCGTTCCAAAATTGCTGATTTTTTACCAAAAACCTGTTGCATGAGTATTGCTAAGGAATTCTTAAATGACGTCAATGACAATCCAGGTTTTCTTTACAGTGTCATAACTGGTGACGAATCATGGGTATATGGTTATGACATCGAAACAAAAGTCCGATCGTCCCATTACAGCCCAGGAGAGCCATAACCAATAAAAGCACGCCAAGTTCGATCAAATGTCAATGTTATGCTCATTGTTTTCTTCGATTATCTTAGCGTAGTGTATCATGAGTTCCTGCCACATGGTCGTACTGTAATACCTAGCAAAGGCTGCATATTCTAAACTTCGCGTCTCGTAAAAGCTAATGACGGAGAAACACAATGTCAAAGCAAAATTTATCTGTTATCGATCGACCAATCGAGAAATGTTTACAAGAATTACGGACGATAGCCAGTTGGGTTGACGTGGGTGGTTTGCTCTACTCACTCAATCGACCGTTGTGTGAACCGATAGTTCGAGCCGCAAGGCCCGGACGATCGATTTTCACTTCCTATCGTTCAATTCGTGTTACGGATCACACGTTGATAGGTAAGACCTCGTTAGTCCTTAGCTCGCAAAAGTTTTGATTTTTGAGAGTTGTCGTTCGTAAGGGGGCGCCAGCTGGTTGGAGAAAAAACAGATTTTGAACAGATTTTAAAACATGTGGTCTGTCAATAGACCGCTTCGTTAAAGATCTAGCCAACTTTCATCAGTTCGGACTTCCATTGTCTAATATAATATGAATTGATTTGAAATTCCTGAAAAAAATTAAAAAGATTAACCGAAACTAGCAATTTTATTGAACAAAAAACTGAAATTACAAAGAAATAACATACAAGCAACAACAAAA